CCCCCAGAAATTCTTGTGTCCAAGAGGAGTTTTTAATGCCCCACCTCCCCAGCTGATACCCAAGTCCTTACCTCCTGAGTGTAGGATCATGGTGATTTTTAGCTCTGTTTCTATATTTTAGACATGGGCAGATGTGCCCTAGAAGTGTTCTAACACAAACATTCTTAAGTGTTATACAAAAGTCATTTATGACTTTTATTAAAAGAACCTGCTGGTCTAGGTCACTTGGAATGCCTGGGCCTGGGGCAAAAATCCCTTGCTCCCCTCACCACCCTGAGGCACCATTGATGACTACACAGAAGTCTGAGGAGTGCTTACATCCTATGATAATGGCCAGATAAGTCACCCTGGAGACAACTTGAGATGATCAAGGTTTGGTCTCTGAGACTGGAATTACCATCAAAGGTTTGGAAACAGGTACAGTCCAAGCTTTGGCTCCCAGCTCTGTCCAATACAGTGTTGGAGGTCAGCCCTGACAGAAGAACTTTCTGCTCAACTCATGTATCTCAAGAAATGCACAAAGGCTCAGGGAACAAGTTGCCATTCCCACACCTTGCCTCTTCTCCCCTGTGCAGGTAGAGTCAGCCAGATCCTGACCCCACATGGCCTGGGGCAAGTCTAGAATGGCACATAGCACCTGATCTTGCTCTGCACCTCATGCAATCAGAAACCTCCATGCAAAAATGGGTACAAAATGCTACCATGTCAGAAGAGTGACAACACTGCAATGTCAAAAAGAGCACCAGGTGCAGAGCAACAGAGAACCAGGCACACTGGGGCTGCTGGATGCTTAGAGTGGATGTAAGCAGCATTCCTTCTAAGCTGCGTGGCATGCTCAGTCACACGGGCACGCTCATGCCGCGCTGCCAGGCACGCCTGTGCAGCCGCACACACCGCTCAGCTTAGAGGGAACGCTGGATGTAACCTGCTCACAGAGGTTCCATTAGCCCAGCATGGCTGGGTAGCTTTAAGATCAGTGCATCTCACTGCTAGGAAGGTGACCTGGGACCAGATGTACAAAATGCACCAGCATTGGGGAGCACAGGAGAAAAGGGTCATTGTTGGACAGGCCATGAGGAAGAGTGAGCAAGAGAAGAACAGAAGGAATGCTCCCAGAGCACAGAGTTTGCTTCTGTTCTGTCTGGTGTACATATCACTGGTTCTTCCAACAGGTACAACTTCCTCCTACCTCCACTTCCCTGATCCCAAATCCTTTCTGTGCTGGCAAAGGATGTGGAGATCCATCAGTGTAAGGGGAGAATCAAACCTCTATTCTACCCAGTGCCAGACCAGTCTAGGTGCTGTTTACATTGTAATCATTCCCATGAAAAACAACTCTTGGGGTGAAACTTCCAGCCAGTTACCCCATGCCAACCCCACACTGACACACACATGGCACTGCAATGCTGGGAGAACCCAGGCAGGTGCTGCAATGCAGGACTCTTACTGTCTTTCCTGTAGTAGAGGATCTCCAGCTTGCACTCCTCAGAGCCCAGCAAGGCCTGTGTCAGCTGTGAAATGGAGTTCTTGGTGGTGTCAGGCCCAGTAAGGAAGTTGCAGGTGCAAGGGCGCTGCATGACCTCCACCCGAGAGTAACCAAACATCTCGCAGAAGCCATCATTGCAATAGATAATGGCGCAGTTCTCCATCTGTGCATTCGCAATGAGGAACTTGCGGTCTGTAGAGAAACATGGGAAGCAAAGGATTAAAACAAGAGGTGACCCCTGAAATGCTTCCTGGGATAGGATGGTTAGGTGGGTGTGGCCAGAGCTAGTCCACCTGCACAGCTGGGCACAAAGGTTTGACAAGGCTCCTCCACTGCAGTTCTCATGTCAGTGGGGATCTCACAGGCAAGAGGACTAGGTCCCAGCCACAGGCTCAGACCCAGAGAACCTGCACCCTGTTTCTATCTCTGTTGCAAACCTAGTGTGTGATCTGGAACCAGTTACTTTGTCCCTAAACTTCTCTGCTGTAAGCTCTTTGAAGCAAGGGCTGCTTTTTACTAAGTCTTCATGCAATACCTAGTATTAGGGGGGCTCAGTCTCAGCTGGAACCTCAAGGGACTCCTGGAATACTAGAGATAATAAAACACTAGGCACTCCTTTGTTCAGCATGTTTTTTCCCAGTATCCTAGTGGGACATCATCATCATTGGAATGTGACTCGGCCAGAGATTCACGGGGCTGTCATTACCATCTCCCAACAGAGGATCTCATGGTGTTTGACAGACACTAACTTTGCACAATGTCCACAGATATGATCTCTAGGTATGGATGGGAAAACAAGCCCTGGAGGGGACAGGTGATCAGTCCATGGTTTCACAATAATGCCAAGTATAGAGGCCCAAAGTTCTGATCCCTGATCAATGTGCAAATTCATGCATGGCTGCCTCTACCAGCAATGTCCCAAACTACCTGCTGTTTCCTCCTTCCCTGATTATCAATGCTGGTGACCCAGACAGATGGAAGTAAAGGGGATCTTTCTCCTCTGCTGGCCACACCCTCTGCTAATTCGTACAGTGCATCAAGTTCACTGCCATTGTCATTCTGGTGCGAGGCAGGGATATTTCCTACACACATATTTTCCCTTCCCCTCAGGGATCTTGCCTGTGAAAATGGAGAACTTTTAGCCTGGGGCTGGATGCTCAGATCTAGCATCAATGGGCATAGAACTAGTGACTTCAATGGTAGGGTGGTAGGAAAAGTAGAATTACTGCTCCAGGCCCTGCCCTTTGGCCCAAGGTGCCTCCCAGCTCTGCTGCCCGCACCACACTGCCTTGCATTCCCTCTTTTTTCAGTATTCCCGATAATGCCATTTCCAGCCCTTCCCTTTGGGAGACCCAGTCTAAGAGCTCCCCCATAGGATGGAATTAAGAAAGAGGTGATTCAGGCAGAATAGCAGAATCCTCTTTGTGGCAGTGAGGCTGGTTTTCCTGTGGGATGGTTCCCCAGGGGAGGCAGTGGAAGCCTATAGCTTTTGAAGCTACATAAACACAGGACCACAGGGGATCATTTGGTGCTTTCCAAGGAAGGAGGTGATATAGGGAGGTCTTTCCCATCTTGAGGCTCTCTGAACCTTAAAGGAAGGGTAGATTTGCATCTTATAGACCATATATATAGATATATATATAGCATAAATTCATGGGCTGAAGCTCACTTCATTAGATGCTGTGAAAGGGCTAACTATGTCTCTCTGCTTTCTGAATCTGTCTTTCTGGTTATGGTGGGAGTAAATCCAGAGTATCAGAATCAGACTGAGGGATCAGCTGCTAGCTTTTCCATTTTATAGTTTTATTTTTCTTGGCCTTGGATCCATACTCCAGGCAGCACACTTTCCCCTCAGTCCTTTTTGCAGATACTTAACCTAGCCAGACTCACTCTTTTCAACATTTGCTTAAATCCAGTACCTGCCCTGGTAGACCAGATTCTTCAAATGGGGCACAGCTGTGCTGAGGTGGCTTCATCACTGAAGGCAACACAGAAGGCTCAGTATAGACCACCTACATTAGCTTTCCCCTTGAGAGGATTTCTTAATGAGTTCTACTGTGTGCTAGGGCAAATGCTGGAAAGACAAACATGTCCTACGCTGGGAAACACCAGGAAAGCCAAGCCATCCATGACTCATGGCAGCCTTTGGGCAATGCCAAAGACAACAATGTGAGAGGTCGACCTGCCCAAGCACAGAAGGTTTCTCCTGCCTATTCACATTGCTTTAGCTCTCTTGGGAAGCTGCCCTGTAAAGCTCAGGCTGATGATACGTAGGATTAGAGCAGGCATCTCATCTCCTGTCCTTAATATAATCTAGCAATTTAGAGAGCGTGGTGTGTGGCTGCCATGAAGTGCAGCTGCTCAGATCTGCAGGGAGAGGGACATTTCCGACAAGAATGGGCTGAACCCAGGTCCTGGTTCTGCCCCAGCAAATTCTATGGCATGTAACTACAAACAAAATATGCCTTTTGGCACTGGGGGCAGGGACATAATTCCCAAGAGGTGGCATCTGCTTTGGCTGAAGCTGGAGCCAGGTCTTAAATGCAGAGGGTCCATTTGGAGTCTAGCTATTAGCACAGTCCCTAATTAATCTTGCGGATTACATAGGAATGGCATCTGCAGCATGTTTATTCCAGTTCTGCTGTTGCTTCGTTTCCCACCTAGCAGGGAATGTGCATTCGCAAACCAAAGTGTCAGACTCACCAAAGGTCTGGAGATGTGTGCTGTAGCCCTGAGAGGAGGGATTTCAGTGTACCTACCAGCAATACCCAAGGGACAGACCTGGGGGATTCCCCTCGTCACTTCCCTGGGGCCTCTCACTGGTGGATTAGAAAGCACTTTGCAAACATTAATGAATTAATCTCCAGCTGGGTGAATAATGGCATTTTCAGGTCCAGGTGAATGAAATGAAAAATCAGGGAGGTGGGGGGAGAGCAGGGAACTGAGTCTGAGACAAATGGGAACATTTTTGAAGAAATGAAAGGATGTTTTGTTTTGGATCACCCTGAAATGTTTCATTTGACCCAAATCATTTCTCAGGCAATTATAAAAATATTAATTATAAATTATAAAAATAACCTGATTATAACATCTTTCCCTGCCAGAAACTACCATTCGGAAATTGCAAATCCAATCAGCCATGTTGGAAGCTGTTGAAACAAAATGCTCTGGCATTTTCAGAAATTCCCCCCCACAACCCCTATTTTGGGGGGTCAAAACTATTCACTTAATTTAACCTCATTTGGGGACTAGTTTTAATCCCTCCAAAAATCAATTTTCTGGAGTTTTTTTCTATTCACTGAAAAAAATCCACCCAGCTCTAGCTCCAACACTGTTGAGAGGTAGGAAGTGGTCCTTTATATGGCCATTTCAAAGCTAGTTAAACTAAGGGTCAGTGCTGTGCTTGGGACCACACAGGGGGTGAGCAATAGAGTCAAAAATAGAACTCAGGAGATTGAGTACAGAGTTACTGCCCTGCTCACTTAGCTGCCCTGTCCTCCCCTTCTGATCCAAAGTCAATGCAAACTCAATCCTCATCCCCTGAACTGCATCTTGCCACTACCTCCAAAGCGGACATGGACACAGCGCAGGGGAGGAGCAGCCAGGTTGGTAGAGGATTAGTTTTCTAACCAATATTTCAGTGAGTTGAGACTTAGGGCAGAACTGGGGAGGGGAGTGGGCATCTGGGACTGGTGGGCAGAGGGAAAAGAGGATGCTGATTTTAACCAGACAGCACAACCCGGTTCAGAGGGAAATGGAATTAAAGTCTTGGGGGTTTCAGTGACTCACAGCAGGAAGCCTGGCAAATACAATCCAGAATGGAGTGGAGAGCCAGAAATAAATGGGTTTTCCTGATAGAAAGTCCCAGAATGTGGGGGAGTGGGGGCAGAGACAGGGGGAGTCCAGTGAGGAAAAGAGGCCTGGTCTATCTCTCGCCTTATACCACTGGTAATCAGGGTAGAGCACTTGCATCCACTGGTGCAGAACTGGAACGGATGGGAAGCAGCCCATGCAGAAAGGTTAAACCACTCAAAGGCCCTTCAGAGAGAGAGGGATTAGAGCTGAGCAGCTCCTGCCTCCGTCCTCTGCTGAGTCCCTCAAACCTCACTGCCTCCCAGGGAGGGCCAAGGCTTGTTGGGAAGAGATTAAATCCTGCTTCTAAAATGGACAGAGAGGCAAGTTTAAGAGATGAAATCCTACAACTGGGGAAGGAAGTGTGACAGGCAACCTTTATGGCTTTTCTGCAGCTGCCACTTTAGCAGTATCTTGGGGCCCTCTATCAGGAGTGGCAGCAGGCAGATTTGCAAGTAGCAACAAGTTCCCGTTTGACTCCCTCCCCCCCACTCCCCAGACCAGCAGGCTGGGGGGGGCGGGTGCAGGGAGAGGTCTGTTTATTTCCAGGTTAGCTCCTCAGCCAGCACAGGCAGCTCCAGGCTGCAGCTGCCAAGGCAGACTGATACACCAGGCAAGTTCCATGAACTCCCCATGGCCAGGATCACGTCACTCACCACCAGGACCGATCCCAGCCCCTTGCCAGCTACAGATCCACTGGGCGGCAGAGAGTGACTGAATCACCCTGCTGCAGAGAGCCCACAGCCCTAGCCAGCCTACACCTCACGCCCCCAGTGCAGAAAAAAAAGAGACTCCCTCCGACACCAGATTTTACATGGGCCGCACTGAATCAGATGCACACACACAGTCTGAAAAGAAAGATCCTCTGAAGCAGTCACCTTGGGAGGGCCCCCTGCCCCTTCCCAGCCGTGACAAGATCTCCGGGTCTTGTACTAGGGGACCACATGCCTCCTCTCAAGGGGCTTTTACAAGCAGCTGCAGGCACTGTGCCAGTCGAGGCAACACTCCCCCCTCCCAGTTTCGCACTGCCTCTCTCTGCCAGCACCGCTCGGCTCGCTCCTCGCTGCGGCTGTCCCGCTGGAGCTGAACCCCAGTGACGGCAGCGGGGTCCCCTCCCGATCCATCCCCTTCCGCCCAGCGGGGATCGGCGCCTGCGGGGAAGTTGTGCCAGGAGCCCCCTGGGCCGGCGCTCAGCACTCACTCTGCCCCTCGAACTTGCGGATGATGGTGTCCAGGTAGGTGTTCTGCGGGGCCACGTGGCCCCTCCGCACCGGCATGATGCTGCTGCTGCTGCTGCTGCGGGCGGCGGCGGCGGGG